AGGAACAGGAGCTGGCGCTGAGCGGTGATTAGAGCCGCGGACTCGTGTTCCACAAGCAGAGCTGGGCACGTGTGTGTGTGCATGCATTTATATATATATATGTGTGTGTGTGTGTTTATGTATGTATGGGGGGGCATATTTGCAGAGTTTGGTCCTGTGTTTCGTGGAGGAGGCAAGCCCCGTCCTGTCCCGTCAGGCTGGGCTCTGCCAGCAGCCCTCGGTTCCAGTGTCGCTGCCTGCTGTGTGGCGCGTCCCGTCTAAAGGGAAATGCTGTGAATTAAGCGAGAGACTAAGCATTGCTGTCTCGTATGGCCGCGTATCTAGCGTGACCGTCCTTTGATACATGGGGCGCTCTCACAGGCTTTAGCGACTTGAAGGTGATGGGAAATCTCAAATGCTTCTGGAGATGGAAGTTTCCCTGGGTTAGAAGGAGCGTTTACTTCCCTTCCAGCAGCCCTTGCTCCCACGTGCCCGGGGCGCGATGCCGACGAGGCTGCGTGCCCGTGGCCGGTGCTTGGCCGCAGGGCAGGCGGGCGGCCTCGTGTCCGCACGCGGCAGCGAGGAGCTGGATGCTGGAATGTGTGCGCGAACGCTGCTGCGCCGGTGACAGGCCCTCCAGCAGCCCTGCTGAGAAAGGGGCTCCGCAAGCGTGTGCGTAAATAACATAGAAATAACATCCAGAGAAAGGCCCTTCTCTCCCTGGGCATTGGTTTAGAAAGGAGCGTATTGTCTCGGTGAAATAAGCCTCTTTCTTTGGCATGTGGAATATTTGTGCAATGCTCTATCCTTATTGTGTTTGTCCTCTTGGGCACCGAACGCTGGTTAGCATGCCAGGTTAAAGAGTAAACCTGCTAATCATTTTAAAAGGCTTTATTATACTTAAGCATGCTTGGCGTGCTTTCTTGCATAATTTATTTTACTTGCAGGTTCCTTGTGCAGGTAAGGCTTTGCTTGGGCTCTCAATTAGGATTATGCAGAATAATTTGAGGCCTGGCTGAAGTTGGAAGGTGCATCTTCTGACTAAGGCTAACGCGTGTCCTTTGAAATGCAGAGGAATAAATTAAATACTGATGGTGCCTTCTGTGGCTGCTATTGTTTTTCAGTTTCTTGGATGACCTCTTTGGTGCCCTGCATCATTTTGCATCATTCTCTTCATGACAAGCTTGCAGTAAAGAAATGAGATGTGGAAAAGTTTTATTCAAGATTGCACTTTTTAGTAGATTCCACAGAGATTATAGTTCAAAAATAATGAATCTTATGTTTGACCGAAGACCTATGTTCTTATGTTTCATCTTATGAATATTATCTGTGGTTCTCAAAGTCAGCTTTCTAAAATAGGCTGTCAGCAGCCTGTATGGAGGGAAGCTTATCCTGCATGTTTGCCTCCGCATGCCATCCAGGAGGTGATACCATTATTTGCCCTGAGCTCTGGGTCAAGCTCTGGGAAAATGTGTTTTGTCTGGTGATATTCATGGCCTGTGCTCAGGGCTGGATGATATCAATAACTATGGTGGGAGATACCAGCTGTCAGTAGCGAGTTCGGCTTTGCAGATAATGCTCATCAAACAGATGCATGCTCATCAAACAGATAAAAACATCTTCATGCAAAGAGTAGTGGAAGTGGTCTGATTTTAGACCATTTCAGTTTTAAAGCTGAAGAAGTATTTATTCAAAAAGTGTTTTTCTGTTTCAAAGCTCTTTACAGTCAAACATATGTAAATTAGTTTACTTGATTTGGAAAAAATACTTTTATAAAATAAAGAAACCTCTGCCCCTCATATTTCATGAAATATATTCAGGAAAATAAAAGGCAGTAATTAAATGCTCTGACACTGGTAGACAGTGTATATTCTCTCAATAAACTTGGCTTCCATGGGGGTTTAAAAAAAAAAAGTGGCTTTTTGAACTTAGTTTTAAACAGGTCAACTCTTGTCCTGCGGAGCTATGTTCTGTGTTTTGTGAGCTTCTCTGTTGGGGAGAGAATCTAATTTTAAATTGCAAAACTTAACTAGAGTTTAAACTAAACATGGATATTTTTAACTTGTGGTAGTCAGACTTTAAATAAAAGTGCTTTGTTTATCGTTAGCAGCTCCTAACAGCTGATAGAAAAAGCAGTGGCTTGTATTCTCTTGTTAATTCAGACTAGAAAGCCGCTGTTTTTTGTGAGCCAGGGTGTTTTTTCTGGCAAAGACCTCTGTATTGACAGCAGCAGGCTCTGTAGCTAATAAAAGGGGCACAGCTAAATTGAAGCTGCTGATGAAGCATTGTGCTTTACTCCCTAGTAGCACAGAGTTTAGGTGGAGCATTTCTCAAGCCTTTTCCAAGGATGTCACAAGCTTTTCTAGCTGCAGAATCAATGTTTGAAAGTTATCTGATAGTCATGTAAACATTTCCTTGGTTTCTGAAGTCCAGGAGTTGTGATGGTTTAGTTCTGAGCTTCTCTGACCCAAATTTGACAATATTTGGGGGTCACCTTCAGTAGCGAAAAGATATATATTTTTGTCAAGTTGCTTGACAAAGCAACTTGCTTTTGCTTTGCTTGCTTTTATCAAGTCTGGAGTTGTCATGGAGTTGATACTGCTTTAAGGATACAGGCTTCTCTGATTTCCGGAAACAGACTCTGCTGAGGTGAAATACATAATAATTTGGGTCACTGTAGGTTTGGGTACATGACCACAGAAATGGAGTACTAGTACTGATTATGGGCCTGCCATTTCCCGCGCTGAGTTGGGTGCAGAACCCACCAAGAACCTCTTTATTACTTCACAGAATCACAGAATGGTTGAGGTTGGAAGGGACCTCTAGAGACCATCCAGTCCAACCCCCTGCTCCAGCAGGGACACCCAGAGCACATGGCACAGGGTGGCATCCAGGCAGGTTTGGAAGATCTCCAGAGAAGGAGACTCCACAGCCTCTCTGGGCAGCCTGTTCCAGGGCTCTGTCACCCTCACAATAAAGAAGTTATTCCTCATATGGAGATTAAACTTCCTATGTTTCAATTTAACACCCAAACTTACTTTAAAAATGTGTGTGTAGAAATCTCGAGCATAAAAATGGCACAATTTTATTGGCATAGCAAGAATTTGCAGGGAAGGGGAGAACCCCAATCAGAGCAATCTGCTGATATGGAGAAACCTTTCCTGATCTGGGAAGCCCCTGGGTACTGACACCTTTATATCCAAAGCTATTCTTTAAAAGATGCGAGAGGAGGCTGAGTTGCATGTGGAATAGATTCTCCTGTGTGAAAAAGGCCACTTATTGGTGATCTTCTTTAAGAAGAATCTCCTCTTTGTTTTCTGCAGCCTGTTGTCCCTCTTTCCCCTGCCCCCAGGTAACATATTTATGCGAGCTGTGACTTCCAGCCAAATTTTACACGGTAAAGACAGTTTGCCATGCTTGTGGTTAGCTGCTCCCCTTGTTTTGAGCCTCCGTTACAATTTGGCCTTTGTTACTGTAGTTGTAGACTCAGCTAGCTCTGCATCACGCTGACACTTCAGTCCTTTTATTGCCCTCTAGGTTCGGTTGCTCCCTTCCTCTCCGTGGTTCATGGATACCGTTTGTTTGTGCCCGTTGCATCACCAAATACTTTGGTTTCCATTCTTGGTGAATCTTTAGGGCTGATATATTTGCAAGTCTGCCTTGGAGGAAAAAATAGAAATGCGTTCGTTTCTTAATAGTTAGCAACTGGTTGTGAGGGCTGGTGTTCTTTTTTTAGTGCCATCGTGCTTGCTCAGTGAGATTTCAACAAGGTCAGTCATGTTAATTGTGTATTCTGGGAGCTGCAAAGCATGGTAGGATTTTGGCAACAATTGTGAGTGACAATAAATTGTTATTATTTACTATTTTTTTAGCCTTCTTCTTTCTAAGTACTATCAAGTGAACACTATTGTTGTTCTAGTTATCTGGAAAAACACTAAAGCCCATGTTTTTTTCCAACACAGAATGAGAGTTATGCTTTTGGTGAAGAAGACTAGAGAGAACCACTGTAATTTGGGATGCAGAAGAATTTCTTTTCTGTGCTTAGTTATTCAAAAATATTTTTAAAGAGCTTTTAAAGAGCTTTTGTTAAATAGGTAAGGAAATGACATTGAATGAACTCTTTCTCTTCGGATATCAGCTGAAACTTTGAAGAAACATGGTCAATAATGTTTCATTAGCCAGAACTGAAATATTAAAGAGATTCAGTTAATTGTGGGGTAAAACTTGAAGTCAAGTTGCACAACCAGTTTGCCTTCTTAAAATTAATCATTTGTTATTGCTGAGGGTCAGTGCATGCATGAACACAGAGACCAACTCTACTGGTTTGTTTTGTTCCATGTGTTTACTCCTTTTTTTTTTTTTTTTTCCTTTTTTTCCCCTTCTCTCCTGTTTTATAGTTTCTTGAGTTGCTTTTGGGTTCTGTGATTTTTTTTTCCTTTTAATCTCGTGTTCATTGACAAGTTCTGTTTACTTTAACATTGAGTGGCTGTTGAAACTATTTTAACCAGAGATCAGAAATCTAAAAGTAGAATTTTGCCAGCATAATGACTTTAAAAGCAACATTTGAAATGCTAAAACCACAATGAGTATTACTGGAAAGTTTACTGTAGCCTTCTGAGAGTGAGTTTTAGGATAGGAGAGTGATATACATAGCTAGTA